GGTCAAATACGTACATATTCTGCCCTAGTTTCATGTCTTCTTCTGTCCTCTGAGGAGTCTCAAAACGCCAAACTGCATCTGCTGGCAATGACAGGATGTTTAGCTATAGCACAGCCTAATTCTATTATCAACTTAAATTTATGGGAAACGGGTATATATACTTTTGATTATCACGAAAAATATTTGACCGCATCCCTGATCTGGGCACTAAAAACTTAGTGAGAACAATGAATTTAATGCCTAAAGTTCATTCTTGTTCCCTTCCATTGCGTTATTTCTCATTGAGTTTTATCTTACTATTATAACTAGTTTTGACCTATAAAACTGTTGTTACTTGGTTTTCCACCATCTATCACATTGCATCAAACCACATTCTAGCTTTAAGATGTTTGTTTATTTAAAATAACATCAGTATAACATGGTTTTGACTGTTGATACATAAAATTTACGACTTATTAACCCAATTTGGAATATATATATAAACAATTGTTTATTCAGTTTTAAATGAATGGTAGAATTAATTAAAAAAGCCTACATACTTTATCGGTTCTACCTTGCTAGCACATATATTCAGTCGGCAGTGAAGAATTCTTAAGGGTTTACTGAGGGTAAGGAAGTGATGAGTTGCATAATTTACTGTTTGTTAAGCTTTACCAAACTCCTTGCATAGTTTTGAAGAAATTATCTGGCAAAGGAAGCAACTGATGATGGTGACAGGGGCAAAGCAACCAGGCTTGTAGTGTAAGTAGCTATTTTACGCACGTGCGCGCAATCCAGTTTCATCCGGCGCAGTGATTGGCGTATTTCTGTTGGTCAGTTCGGATGCTTTCGTCCCAAACACCCTCTTCGTCTCCCTTACGTCTACCAATTGGTTGTAGTGGTCCCCCACTCTCCACTCTCAACTAACCAAACTGCCTGGGACTGTAGTGGAGAGTGTGGATGTGGCGTGGCGTAAAGGATTGGCTTTATGTGTTTCTAGTTTATTTTCAATTTGTGTCTGCGAATCCACAAGTGTTTACTATGATTCGCTCTTTACTTCTCCACTTTTCAGCTCATCATTATCCACTTTTTTCTCCTCAACTCGCATGCTTGAACTCTTTGTTAGCAAAACTCAAGTGTACAAATGTTATGTGTTATGCACAAGTCACCGATACTCTTCACGTTTGGACACCTGGCTAACAGTTTGAGCTGTCAGTACTGTAGCAGTTTTCGTGACTAAAACGTCAAACTTATAGACTTCATCCCGACAAATGATTCTTTTTTAAGGTAGTAATAATGCTAAAAATAAAGGTAAACTAGAGTATTGGCCGAAAGTCATCACTTGATACCCTATCTGCGGAATGTCAATGTCTACTACCCCGCAAGTTCTATGTTACATTTTGTAGCAAGGATTTCCTTAAAAGACTGTGACAGGGATCCCAGTTGTTAAACTGAAATTTTAGTTTGGGCGTTTAGTGGTCCAATACATCATATAGATTTCCACAACATCTTGTTTTGTGTCCAAAATAGGAACTTGACTGATCAGGTTTATAATGCATGACTTTGTTATTGTCATCACTCTGAACCCCAATTAACCTAAACTAGTCTCCAGCGGTATCATAATTTGTGTCTAGCGTTCCTGTCTTACTTTAAAAAAATATTGGTTAAGGAAATTCTGCATTTAAAAAATGTTTTCTCTTGATACCTAAATTTATTGAGGAGGACAACCTAGATTCAGTCAAAGTGATGTAAGTTTTCACTACTGAACCCATTTCCTGATTCTTTTCTCACTTGTGATGCCCACCTTTGGAAGGTTTTGAGCAATTTATCATTTAATTTTTTTCCCCTAAAGCGCAACCAGAATCACCGTACATTATTGAGATATATTTGGTTTTGAAGTGCTGACGCAGTAAATGATGAAATAGTGGATTGTGCGGATACGCAGGTCTCATAGTGCAAACATCGCAATGTTCTGGTATAATAAAAGGGCAGCTTTTGTAAGGGTTAAACTCTATTAGGGCATGCCCTTCTCACGCAAAGCTGTCTTGAACCAGATCAAAATGTTTGGGCACGTGTTTAGGACAATTAATTACATTTTTATTTTGTTAAAAAGGCCCGACTTTTTAAGTGAAACGTATAACTTATCCACTTCAATGAATGCAAAATTTTATGGGAATCATTTTAAGTCATTGGCCTAATTTTTGAAAGCGCCTTGAAAAGAGGCATGGTAATCTTAGTTTTTCTGTAGCTGACAGATTCTTGTTATGCACCGTATAGTAAACCAGACTAAGCATTTTCGTCATGGTATTTCAACATTTTAGCGTTTGCTCACGCTGTAGAATGCGTGTATTAATTCACGATTTCGAAAACAAATTATTTCATCCTCAATTCTGGAATGTTTTTCTCTTTATTTCGCCTCCTCAATAAACAGACTCACTATGGACCAAAATCTGGAAAAATGTTGTCCGACTAAGACCAGCAGATTTGACTTTGGGTAAGCTGAAGCATCGTTTTTGCACAAATCAACGACAAAGCAAAGGCAAAAATGTCCTTTGAAAGTCATTTTTACCCCTCATGCGGATTTACAGTGACCTTTAAACCAGTCATTTGGGACAAGTTTGTAAACTATGGACCATTTTTGTACAAGCTTAGGATTACGCCGACGAAGAGTAAAAGCCAATTCATTGGTCACAAAGCAACTGATTACGACTGCATGAAAAAGAGCCTCAGACAAAAGTTCATTCACTTATTTCAATGAACAGTTCAATGTGTTTGCCGCGCAAAATGCTTATTCTGATGTTTTAGCAAATGCAGTTATGCTACAAATTGTAAGATTTTTACATTTAGATCCTATATCCGCCCTACGCGAGTTGGAAAAAGGCTAAGTATTCCCCCTTCCTCCTTCCAACTCAATATTTGCTACCTTTTCTCATGTAGAAAGTCAAAAATACAGTTTATTAAAGGCAAATTTAATGCAATGATGCCAAACTTGTCCTCATATATTAATATTCACTCTATAACACTTTAGCGGCACAAATTTTTTAGGAAATAATCAGTGTTCTATCTTTAAATAGGACAGTTGAAACATGCGTTCATTAAGACAATTATCAAATTAAAAAAAATGCCAAGAAGAGCTAAAGCCCTAATATTTACTCAGGTGTAATTTTGAATACCATGCAGCTGTTGCGACAAACGAGTCCTAGATTTAAAGGGAAATACAAGTCTTAACAATGGGCAAAGACGTCTAGCGTAAATGTTTAACCTATGGTTCAAAATACAAACCATGGAGCAAAATGTTACTAAATATAGCGAAGTAGATTTGTTGGTTTTGGAATAATCTTTTGGTGGTCAAAAGTATAAAACGCTTCTTATCCGGAAGTATATCGCAGCCATGATATTCCTGTATTACTTTTGCTCATTCTTAACATAATTTTCAAAAATTTTCCTGGTTGAGTATAAACTACTTCTAAAGCCAAACTTTCTTTGCTCAACTCTAGTATTCTTATCTTGCTGGCTGTCGACGAATAATAATTTTGTCTGATAATGTCGGTGTTTAAAAAATAATGAAGAAAGGCATAATGAAATATTTGCTAATTTATGTGCCCCAAGACTTCTCTGGAAGGCAGAATATGTATAAATGACGCATAGGAAGGCTAAGGGGCCACTTCCATGAACTGAAAGCCATGCCATTTATTTTTCGCGTAACCCAAAAGAAGAGGTTAACAATCAAGCTATTACACCTATATGATATAGTAGACAATGGTTATTTTCGTATAAAAATCTCAAATAGTATGCGGACTCTAGTGGTTTTACTAGTTATCACGTGCTCGTCTCGCTTATTAACGGAGAATTTTCAATGATCATATAGGTAAACATAAAATACTCATGTTACGATAAGTCTTAGATTTTGAAAACTGACTCTTCCAGCCAGGAAGCACGTGCTCAATAAAGGAATCACATTACTTGTCTCAGAACATTCAAACGGTTTGCTGAATGAGTTTTCAAGCTGAGTTATGCATTGTTTTAACGTTATTAACGAAAATGTTTCACTTATTTTAATTCCATTTAAGTTTAATTAAACGATGCAAAATGATTTTCAAATGTAGCCCAGTGCGAAACCTTTGGTGAGGTGTTGTTGTTTTAACAGACTTGGTAAACAGTTGAGACTGATATGAAGCTACTTTTTCCGTCAATTACATTAAAATGTGTCACGCACACCGACTCCTTTGTAGGTTGATGGGTTAATAAGTCTGCAGTTTATTCAAAATTTTATAATAGCTAAGAAATTCATACATTGTCTATTTCTTCATTTCTTTATCCCATGTCTTGGCTTACAGGCAAACTTTTTCAGCAGGGCCACCGTCTAATAAAGTCCTATATGTTTGTGATATTTAAAATTTCCTTTTGTCTGATAGTATTGAGTTTGCATTTTGTATTTCCATGAGGCAATTTCTGAGGATACTAGTAATAATGCAATTAAGGAAAGCTCCGTCTTCTCAAGCTTTTATCTTTTATTGGGCCTTTTTTAGGTTTGGCAGATCTGAATGCACAATAATTTGTTCAAAATGGAGCAAATACGACAATAATACACCTATTTAAGTAAAGACGTTTAATGGTAAGGAAAGTTTTAAAAAATCAATAAAGCATTCAAAGGCAACTTGGTTCAAATTAAAATCACCCAACTGTCAGATGAGTATATCTTGTTCGAATGTCGCAGTTTCCACCACAAAATTTTTTCGCTTTTGTTATCCATTCAATGGGAATGATTATAATCAAACGCGTAGTGCATTATGGTGATTAATTTTTAAATGTTCAAATCAAAATCCCCAGCCGAACACTTCACTACCAATTATATTTAATTTAATTCATACCCTATTCAATCAAAAAAAATATTTTGCGTTCCAGCACTATTCTCTGTATTTCATGCTCAACGAAACCGATATCAAAAAACACAAAGTAAAAGCATAAGAGCATCCTAAAACAATTCGGATTTCGCAAAAAATTCACTGATTTGTAGTCTTCGTGGATTTCCTACTGCATATACAATCCATTTAATGTATCAACCAGCTGTCCTGTTCTTTCGGAGTCATTTTATAAAAAATTATGATATCAGAAGTGACAATGTCTAACTGCCTCCATTTTTTCATTTTCAATGATAAAGATCAGTTTTCTTGGTGATCTGGGTTTTGTGGGCCAATAAAAGAAGGGTGTAATGTAAGGATTTTATGAAGTAATTATTCGATTATGCTTTTTGCACTAATCCAAAGGTTTTTGGGGGACTGAAAAAGACAAATTTGAATAATAAACTCAGGAAATGTTTTCAATTCGGCAATTCTCTTTAATTTAGAACATTTTAAAGGGATTATGTTTCCCTCTTTTGCTAGTTTTGGTCTGGTTTTATAATGCTTATTGTTCGAGATTGTCGTAAATAGTCACTGGATGTGGAAAAGCCACCAACTATTTTTACATAAAGATTGAAGAGCTTTTAAACAAAACAATATCAAAATCTGATTTAGATGTCGATTTTCTGCGTTGCTATTTCTCAATCAAATATTTGACCATTTGATTGTGAATGAAACCCATCAAGCGTAGTTAAGCTTGAATTTTTCGGGCTTGCTAACCCAAAAAATTTAACGAGAATTCTATTTTTTATGGTAGCAATCGCTATTGAAGACCTAAAGTAAATAAATGAATTGCTAACCAAGTTTAAAACTATAAATAATAACAACCACTTAAATGATACGGTTTTTATCGAATGAACTTAGTTTCGGTCATTCAATGGGGGCGCTTTTCATGCCTCTACCACTAATCTACTTTCAATGAGGTGGTAACAATAAAATAGCCTTGAAATCCAATTAAAATTTCATGCTTGATAAACAACAATGGGGTTGGTGAATTAAAATGTGAAATGCCCCTTAATTCTACTTTTGCTATTTGGATTTGGGCCGCTTCTTCTTTCTTCAAGCAATTTTAAACGGTTGGTGCTGGGTTTATTTAAACGAAAATGTATTTTCTGAATTTAAAATTTTTAATGCGATCACGTGGGACATTGCTTACTGTTGTCTTCATCAAACTTTATTGTAGCCAATAATCAAACGTACTTAGAAATTAAATCCTCCCTCTTTTTATCTAATTTTCCTTTGATCGTGCATATGATTCACAGTCATTTCATTGACATTTTTTCCGAGTATAAGGCTAAGGCAGTCATTTTAAACATCCTGAAAACGTGCAGCCACTCAACAATTGTCAATTTTTCACTTATACTACCCAAATTTCATGTACTGAAACCGTATAATCCCCAATGGACATAAATAGCAGGTTTTGGTGTTTTTTAACCTCGTAAAGAGAAGTTCTAAACCTTTTTCCTGTTAGTTCAGCTTGTTTAAAAGTGTTCTTAAGATATGTATTCTGTAGAGAATTTGCTGTCAGCGTTTTTTGCTTTCACAAAGGGTGTAATATAAATTTGGTGGATTTCTAAATGTATTAGACATGCTCGTGTTGGTGACATTAATTTCAACTTTCGTTTTGACTTGTTGCACTGACTGATGTGCCACCTCCATGCTAGTCGAGCATGGAGAGTGGAGGACCATCGTTACCATCTTGTGGAAACAAAAGGAGGAGGGGAAGTGTTTGTGATGAAGGCGGTCGAACTGGCCAACTGGGTGGCATCAATTGCCATGATAGACGAAACTAAAACACGTTTCATGTGATTAAAAAATCTTTTCGACCTGCAGCTCTGGGGTTCTTTGTATTTCTCTCAAATTGTTGCGTTCTTTGATTGGGTTGTTCGGTAAATTTTTTTTAGGTTCGAAGAAGAGCATGCGTTTTAAAAGGATTTAGCTAAGCTCTAACCCAAATATTTAGAAGGTCCGTGTTAACTAATTTCTACTTTTTGGCTAACCACTGCCTTTCGTTTTATGGTTTGGTTGAACTTTTCTTTCTTGTGTTGCCTGATTTTTCTGGTATTCAATGAACAGAACGTTAATATAAGTTGCTCACAATGTTATCAACAAATTGCTGAACTTTTTCCAAACTGTTAAGCGATTGAGAAGTACTAGGTTAATCAGTGCATACTGACCATTGATAGTTTTGCAAATGGTTAATTTGGTTGCCCAAATTGGGGGTTTTGCTGTCTTCTTCTGCAAAGGAATTGCATGACAATTTTTGCAACCGAATCACTCTTAACTTACCTGATCGACATTTTTTGAATTGAATCCTTAAAAATTATATGGTCTCAAATTTTCGAGTTTCAAATATTGAACATTACTGCAAGCCACTAAGGAACTGATAAAGTAATACTAATTACCCCTTAAGCACATTATAAATTTAGGAATTCCATGTCCTTAAATTTACTTGTTTCGTTGAGTCAATAGGCAAGAGAGGATGATGTCAGTCATCCTAGTTTTGATTAATTAATTCCATAATATTTATTATAATACACCATATTGCGACTCTACGGATTATGCTCAATCCTGTAATATGCGTTTGTTTGAATGTGCCTTTAAAGGCAGAAGCGCTTAGGATACGCCAACCTCATGACTGAGCGGACGCTGTTATCCCCTGAGGGGGAAATGATCTCGGTACTTGCTAAGCTTGATTATCTGTAAACGTTTACAATGCTTCTAAAAAAATATTCTCCTTTAATCACGCGCCTCACTTTTGAGTATGAAAGCAGAAGTGGAAGGGAGAAACGCTGAACCTATTGGGACACTTGGAAGTCTTCCAAATAGCTAAATTGTAATTAGCACCATGTCATGTTTTTTGCAAATTTAAATTCCCCTAAAAATAATTACCCATTTTGACTTTAGCTATTCTTACAGCAATTTCTCCCTACTCCCGCGACACATATTAGACTTATTTTCTTAAGTCGATCTTTTCAATCTCTTTTTTGTATGTGATAAAAAAGAACAAGGCTACTAGAAAAGTGGAATTGTTGTTGGTATGCATGTCTTGGTTGATCCTTAATTAGCATAATGATACTCTGAATCACATGAGGAGTTACCTCGTTGACAAGTCTATATGGCTGTAATCGAGTCAACTTTTTCAAATGTGCGACTTGGCGGGAAGCGGAAAAGGGAGGAAACCACTTATGGAACAAGCCATTAGCTTTGATTGAAGTTGGCCTCCAATTTAAATAATTTGTCACGTTTTGGATAATTAAACGTTATTTTACTATCTGTTTTAAATTAGTAAACGTTTCTATAAGGAGATTTAAATGTGTGTTATCTGCGAAACTTCTAATGAGTCACTGACGCTTGAATTGCCTTGGGTCATAATTAAGGTTCCAATAAGCTTGAAACAATGATTTGAACACTGAGGCAGTGTCAAGCTTCTAGCTACTTCCAAAAGCAGATATTTTGGTAACATTTGTGATAGTCATGGTCCGCGTGGTCTTTTCGAGAATTCTAAGAAGCTTTTCGAAACTGTAATCAGCGACTAAATTTTAAAGTTCGAAGTCTTATGTACCAGGCAACGATAAAATAAGAAGCAAAAGGTATAATTATATTTATTCTTGCCAGCAAATTATGTCTAAAACTAGGTCTTCTTCCTTAAAGAAATCATCTATCAAAGTAAATAATATAATAATGTTCTGATTTAAAGCCCAAATTAAAAATTTCAACGCCTACTTTTAAGATTCTAAAATGATTTCTCTACATTTACCGAAAAATAACTTTCACCGTTTTCTTAATCTGTTCAAGCTACATAGAGTAATTGGATTCGAAATAGTGGCTTAATTTACTTCTAGTCGTATTTTGGAGATCTCGAGTCCAATTTAGAACTTGAAATATCTTCAATGCATTTGAAAATGGCAAGTTGAAATCGTCACAAGAAATGGTTTGACTATGTGGGAAATAGTCAAAGGTAATCATTTTAAGCTCTGGTTAAATTTGATGGTGCAATACGATTGCGAATGTTTGACTGCATCAAAAATTGCCAAATGAGTAGTTTCTTTTTGCAAGTCGGTTCATGAAGAAATTTTTCCCAGCCCATAAAATTTGATTACGAAAGGTGATTCGATTGCGCTATTGAGAAAATTGTCTCTACCATTCCACTATTCAGTGTTATTCTGTTATCAGTTTTTTGGGCCACCACTTCAAAATTTTCTTTCGTTTGGAGTTCTAAAAGCATTACTGCGATTTGATCTAAGCTAATGTTTGAAAAGGGAAGTCTCCTGTTACTCAAGATTCAAATAAATAATTGAAATGTACCTTGCCTTTATCCATCACATTTACAAATGACTGTATGGCCACAACATCCTTTATTCATTTTCCCCCGTGAACAGTTTTTTTCCTAGCTTATGCTTTCGTTCATTGAACAGTTTTGATAGTTCTCTGAAGTGTAGATTTCTGCCACATCTGTTCGATTTGTGAGCCCTTTTTGTACTCCAATGCGTCATCGATGTTCCAAATATGTTTGACTAAATAAATGTAATAGGATGTTTTCCCAATTAAGGGCACAATGTGATAGCTCTTTTGTGATAACTTGAATGAATTAATCTTGTGCAGTTTCAAAGATTTATTGCAGTCCCTTACCTAAGTTATCTCATGTCCATTCATTCACCCTGAGATTAAAGTATTCCGGCTTTCTTGTCCGCAACACCGATGTCTGCATTGTCTCTTGAGGTTTACATTTCATTCGCATGAAGTTATTTAATCTGCCATTTAATAGCTCAAATTTAATTTTCAAGAGACTTTGCACTATGTTATGCCAAATAAACTCGTATATTCCAATGTACTTTTTTGGCCATCTGAAATTCCTGATGCAAACGAGATTTCGTTTGCTAATACCTCATTGTGCTTTGCATTACTTTCAGTGTTTTGAAGTCCAAAATATTTGAATCAACTCGAAGGTGCCCATTGTTATGGGGTTTAACCAATCAAGTGCTTTTTGTTTAATCAAGAAAACTGTCTTTTCCTGGTCAGCATAGTTTTAAATTAACTTTAAGTATATGGAACTTACACGTCAATAGTTCAACGGCTGATCATCCTTTAGGGTAAACTTACAGAATTTATTCCATATTCGAGAGCAATACACTTTTAAGCAAGAGTCAATTGCTTATGAAACCAAGATTCAATTTTCCTTATTTTGGAAAGGCTAATAGTATTTCATAATATTAAGTTTTAAGTATTACTAAATAATATTCAGAAGTTACTTGTTAATCGCATTCGGTTCTGCTTTTATTCCCGTGAAACGAGCAGATTGAATCGATGAGGGCGTTCTTTATAGGCGGTAGCATAAATGAGGTAACGGGATAAGGGTTATCCATGTTCGGAGTGCACTCCCTCCTTGGAAGAGGATGACGTCCATTCCGTCACAGTAGTCGTGTCCACTGATCGCCTCTAGCCTAAAAGGTATATTTAGACAAATACGCATTACATGAGCTTTTTTGGTAGATCCTTATTTTTAGACTGATAAGCCTCCTTTTTTCCCATCTTCAATAAACTTCCTCCCACTAAAGTCATGCCGGTATAAGATACACACATTGAAGCCAAGGATCTTTTCTGTGAATTATGGTCCTGATATAAATGAAATCACATCTTAAATCATTAAATGTCACCTAAAGACTGCTTTTTACTTCAACTATAATAATATCTTATATACAAATAAGACTTCTCACTGTATGGTCTCCTATTTTTTGAAACAAGAAGACAAAGTATAGTCCCTAGACCCCTCCTGAAACCGTAATGAAGCGTAAATGAACAGTGCATCAAGACGGAGGTAAACTGCGGGAAAAAGGAGCTCGTGTGGCTAGATGTGCACTAAAAAGAATATCAAAGCCCTACAATATTAGCCATTGCTTATATTAACAAGCCCTTCTTCTATAAGAATGTAACAAATTTATGCTAAAAACAGCATAATATACTATAATATACTTAAAAGTTATTTTACCTTCGCTAGAAATGGTTTCGTGCAGGAGAATTATGTTCAGTAATGTTAGTCATTTGATATCATAAATTGATTTCCTTATTTAGCAATAAAGTCATTAAAATGAGTTATTTTTGAAATGTAGTTTCAGGGCATATCTCATCCTGATTTATTTTTTAAGACAATAATCATAATGCGGCTTTATCCGACCCATATTATTTAGGATGCAAAGGGCTGGGTTATTAGAGCCAACTGTGGCTAAACTGGATATCTCACAATTCGAAGTAGCAAATTTGGGGCTGAACACGGCCATCCTCACCTTACGCGTTAACAATGTTAGCTGCAATCGTTCAATAGGGCAGCATTTTATTGTTGGAGTCTGCAACGTAGCAAGCACAGGTCCCTTATATGTCGCATCACATTGGGTCAGATGTGTTGGAATCAGGCGCATTGACGTAGTTGTTGCTGTTATTAATGTCATTCAATTGCAGCACACCAGCTAGCGTTTTTATTTATGATTTCCTGAATTGCATGTAAATTATTGCGTATTTCGTTATCAGTAGCTGTCACAGAAGCAATCAGCATACTGTGAGATAGAGAAGATTGACCTGATTATGAAATGCTTTTTTACAGATCCAAGGCTGTTTAAATACTTTCGATTGCTATAAGAGGGGTTCAGAACCATTTGCCAAGCTACACTTGTGCTATTTATGTCTCCTGTGAAAGGCCGCGATTGTCATCCTATAAAAGGAAGCACTCAACAATGACTCCCCATATATCAAAAATTTCATTTAAAGGCCTTAATAATTCCAATAAAAATCATTTATAGTATGAAGGAAATAATATGTTCCCGTAACCGTAATTACAGACTTGACTACGCAAACCACAAGATGGTCCATTGATTGAGAGCAAAAAATCAGTCATTCATCACACCAAATGTCAATTTTGCTACTGAAATTAAATATGACTTTCACGTGTTCAAAATTTTGCTCCTCTGAAAATAAAAAGTGCAGGGGTGTAGCTTAATATAAAGTAGTACTTTAAAGAAAGTTTAAGCAATGAGTGTGTATGCATTCAAGAAGCTTCTTCGTACGACAAATTTGAAATAAACATTACTTTTTGGTAAATACGTATTTGGTATCACCATTAAAAAGTTTAATCAATGCAACCAGCAAAAGTTAATAATTGCCATTTTCATTTCTTTTTAGTTGATTAAACGAACACTTGTGTTATTTCGTCTGCACTTTTCCCTGATCGAGCGGTTCAAGGAACCATTAGTTTGTTTTACGGCATATGAAGTGGTGGTTTCATAACTTCCTTAAAAACGGAAGCATTTGTCGAGAGTTTGGTCAGGTGGTGCAACTGAGTGATACCTGGTTCTCATTGAAGTTTGACAGTCTTACGGGCATATAATAGACACGTGACTATTGAGTCTTACAGGCATATAATGAACACTTGACTATTGAGTCATCTTCCGCATGATCGGATTAGGCGAACTATTCTCCGTATACCAGATCACTCCGTTATCACCCAAATTGCTCTCTGGCAGGTACTCCTATGTTGTGCAACAAGGCATGCAGTCCGCTAATGAAATTTCCATTCTCAATTTTGATTAGTCTATTTTGCCTTTTTGCTTTCAGATTTAATACTTTATAATCAAGATGACTGGCCACTGAAGCGATCCTGATTAGGGTAAAAAAGCGGCCTCAGTTTTAAATGCTCGTGAGATCCCATCCAATGGTGCCATTTTCACAAATAAATGTTAAGCAATTAATGGTAATTTTCCAGTGGGTTTTCGGTGCCAGAAGTGGAATTCCATCATTCTATCGAAATAGCGACATTATGATGATTTTATCGATGGCTTAGGTGTTTTTGCAAAAGAGAAAGCCAACTAGCTCCCGGGTTGAAGAGCGAACGAACGAGCAAGTGCGCATTTGTGCGTGTACATCCGCGTGTCTATGGGCAAAAGCGTGGATACATGCATAACTCTGTATAAATGTTGATCCAAGCCACGCGTTCATATACACTCGGGCCCCATTATAAGAGACCCTCAATTTTGAGTCTGCTAGTCTTACAACGGATGTTAACCGAGTTGGTGCTTGTGCACACCTATGTGTCTCTTTGGGTGGATGGAATCAAAGAGAAAGGTCTATCGAAAGCCCTCTAGGTAGTTGAGAGCATGTTGAAATGCTCCTGTCAAGGACAGAAGCAATGATGCAGTCAGAATTATATCCAGCACTACCGTCGGAAACATCTCTGATTCTGCAGTGAGGCGCCTGGCCACAGTAGCAGCCAAGAACACAGCTGGTGCTACAACCCAAACTCCCGTATTTATACTTCCGCCGTTTCAACTGTATGTGAGGAAGATGTTTGAGAGAGTCCAGATGCAGGAGAGACCTCGAGAAAATGCTAGGGTGACTAATGTGAAGTTGAATATATACTTGGATACCTCGGATGATGAAGCGGATCTCTAGGTTGGACGCATTCTAAGATGACGGTCTAACTTCTGGTGGTTGTAATTCCGACAATAAGGCTAAACTGTAAATATGTACACTAGGCTTTTAATTTGAGTCTGTTGATAGTCCGCATTTCAGGTAAAGCAAATCCCTGAATATTTTCCATGAAGGAGGGGAAAGTTTTATGCTCGTAAGCTCTATATTAAGAAATTTTGCTTCATAAAATCCTTTCTTACCAGCCTGAAGTCTGAATCTGTTTCGTCTTGTAAATTTATTATTTATTACTTGATTTTTGATAAATTTTCACTTATTTTTCATCAAATATGTATGCGTAAAATAAAAATTATGTAAGTAGGCTGTATACATGCACATATAACACACATTACATTCATATGTGTAAAATATGTATAAAACTGTAGTTTTCTGGAGAGCGCAAAAGAGACTTAATAAGAATCTCTTATAACAACCGAGTTCTCGAAATGACATTCTAAAGGCGTTTCTGACTTTCTTGTTAAATATCCTGTGCTTCTTTGCCTATGATAAATCTA